GGGCTTGCTGATGGGTTGAATGAAGAGTGTGAGGGAGGAAGGAGTCTAGTGTGACTTGCAGTGTTTGGCCAGCAGCTGATCAAATGATGGCCCCATGACTGAGGTAGGGAGCAGTGGAAGAAAAAAAGCTGGAGCTTTTTACTTTTTTGTGAGACTGGATAGGGATTGGGTGGGATATCAGGAGCTCTGGTTTATTTATTTGTTTATTCATTTATTTATAGTTTTTTAATGTTTTTAATGGTGTTCGTTTAGGGTTATAGGTTCACACCTCTAAAATTGTTTGTTGTCATTATCATACCTACTACCAAGTCCTCGACCATAGCCCATTGAGTCCCCTCCCCTTCCTTGTCCTCCACCCCTCCTCCCTCCTTTTCTGGCCGTCTCAGTTCTGCAGTCAGATTTCAAGGATTTGTTTTGTTTTTGTTCTGTTCCTTTGCTTTGTTTCTTTGAGTGAAATATTTATCTTTCTCCTTCTGTCTTATTTCGCATAGAATAATCCGCTCCAGTCCCATCCATGTTGCAAATGGCAGATTTAATTTTCAATTCTCTTTTCATAGCTGAGTAGTATTCCTTTGTGGATAATCATGCCACATCTTCTTTATCCACTTCTCTGCTTGGGCACTTAGGTTGTTTCCATGGCTTGACTATTGTAAACAGTACTTCGGTGACATAGAGTGCATATATCCCTTCAAATTATTGTTTTTGTGTCCCTTGGGTAGGTATCTAGGAGAGGGATTGCTGAATCTTATGGGTAGATCTATTTTTAATATTTTGAGAAACCTCCACACTGTTTTCCATAGAGGTTGGATTACTCTACATTTCCACTAACAGTATTCAAGTGTTTCTTTCTCTTCCATGCCCTTTCCAACACTTCTTGTTTCTGGTGGTTTTTAATATGGGTCATTCTTACAGGTGTGAGGTGCTATCTCATTGGGTACCATTGTAATCAGAGAAGATACTTGAAATGATTTCAATCTTAAGGAATTTATTGACACTTCTTTTGTCACCCAACATCTGATCTATCCTAGAGAATGTTCCATGTGCACTTAAAGAGAATGTCTACTCAGATTTTGGGGAGTGGGATATATATATGGGGGCTTTGTTTTTCAGATGTTAAGTTTGAACTTCACTTTAGATGTTTGAGATATCCAAGGAATTACCCGGTAAGCCACAGAATGATTATTTGTGACAAAGAGAGATGTTGGGGCCAGAGATATATGTTTGACAATCATAATGGCAAAGATGGTAATTTACACCATGTGAGATGGTGTTAGGGTGAGTGTAGATAAGGAAGATATTGAGGATAAGAAGAGACACCAACAGAGAATGACACCAATAAGGGATAATTGTCAAATGGGAGGAAAACCAGGGGATTACAGTGCTCTGGAACTCACATAGATAAAGCATTTCAAAAAAGAGGAAGAGGTCAACAGTGTCCCAAACTATGAAAAATAGAACAAAATAGAATATGGAATTAGCCATTGGATTTGGCAAAGTCACTAGTGAACCTGGCACAAAGAATTTTTGTGGCGTGTTGGGTTACAGAAGTGTGATGGGTGGATTGGAGAGAGAATAGAAAGTAGGGAGGTGGTAATATTGAGTATAAATAACATGCTTAGGAAGGTTTGCTGTGAAGCCTGGGGGAAAAATGGGGCAGTAGCTGGAGGTGAATATTGGTGTCAAGTTTAGGTTATTCAGTATTTAAGAAGAGGTTATTCAAGCACGATTATAAGCTAATATGTGTGTGACTATTCAGTAGAGGGAAAATTGATGTTTCAGGAAAGTTCTGGAGTCAGTGAGAAAGATTTCTATCTAGTACATAAGGAGAGGAGTTGGTCTTAGGTAATAACAGAACTGAAGGCAGAGCACATGGGTACAGCAGTAGATGAAGTGGTAGATTTAATGATAACATAGAAAACAAAGAGATAAAGAGGAAATTAAATACCTTAAGTGGATGATTTGTGCATGAATCATGAAATGACCATATTATCATTGTGTACTAAGGGCAACAGTAGTCAAAATAAATTTGGAATGCTCGTCTCATTTCAAGCCTGAAGTCAACAGTCATTGTTTTTAAATAGATGGAGAAATGTAGATACTGCTAGAAAGCTGAGATTCCCCTCCCCCACCAGCTGAACCACATGAAGAGTCAAAATGTTAGAGGATAAGGCCCAAGAGACCTGATCAGTCTCATTTTTAAACTGATTGGCATTTCAGAATTGAGTCTTCTTCTTTGAGGGTTAAATTTCTGATTGAGAGATACTGTATAGTAAATACTGTTAACTGGTTGGGGAATTTATAGCATTTTTGAGGGGCACTGAGTGCTAAAGTTACTGGTTCCTAATCAGATATGGGTTTCTCTGTGTTAGCCTTTCCTCCATCAAGTTTAGGGATGGAAAAAAGGCAGAAAGAGAACTTGGAGGACTTAGCCTCCCTGTGGGTGCTTACCCTTGAATGTCTTGTGAATCATGGGCTATAGTAGAGGACACCATTTTCCTTTGCTGGATACTTTAAAGGACAGAGTTATTGCCTTGTTTGTTTTCTATCATGGAGCTAATATAAAATCAAGATTCATTCTTTTCACTTCTCAGAAGAAAAAAATCTGCCATTTTCATATTTTGCAGGTTTTTTTTTTTTTTTGATGCTTGCAAGATGGACTTGTTGGAAGGAAGGCGAATGCACAAAACCTGGATTGAAATGTCATCTGGGGAGTCTTGTTATAAAGGATAACATTTTAGGATATAAAGTGATTCCTGGCCAAGTCTTTTTGCAGTAGAAGGGAGAGAGCTCAGAATAAATATTTTGAGTCTGACTGGTGACCTGAGCGCCCTGAGTCTAAGTACAGTGTCAGGGAGAATATCCACCAAAGCAATTGCTTTGCTTACAGGCTGGCAAATGCCTCCCGAGTCATAACATCTGAATTTATTTTAGGCCAGTGGAGCAATATCTGATGCTAGATTACATAATCTAATATAGTTGTATCGAATACAGAACTTCAGTGATTGGAATACATTTTTAAAGGGGTAGTTTAAAGAATTTCTTCATAATTTCTTTGGTGGGTATGTGAATTAATTATGCACAAAACATATCATTCTGGTCAAACTTCAAATTTTCCTCGTCTGGACATGTGAAAAGATTTGAAAACATGCCTGATAATTTCAATTTCAATTTGTTTCCTAAATTGTTTTCAGCTGCCTTTATTTCCTTATACAACAAGGCAAAGAGTAGGTACATACAAAGTAAGACAGATTTCTCTGGGGTCGCCTCTCATTCTGGATTCAACGGGATCTTTTGTTCTTTCTCTCAAAGCCTCAGTTAAAACTAAATTTCCAGATATGCCAGGAACTTTCCAATTTCTGATTCCCAACAAAAACTTTGCTTGCTGGGTTCTGTCTACTAAGAAAAAATGCAAACAGTACTTACCGCTTAGGGTTGTGATGTAGTCGTACTAGACTGTTTCATTGTTGAATTCTGTGGGGCTTTCTAGGATCAAGTATGCTTAATGTCATTTGTGCTTCCTTAAGTCTGAGTAGCATTAATTCAAGTGTGGCACTCACATCCAGAAACCAGAACCAATTGAAGAGCTAAGAGTCCAGCAACTCAACTTCAGTAAATTTCATGAATACTGCCAATTAATTTTTATTACTTGCTTCTTACCTTAGGATCTTTATGTTTGCATTTCCCCTTATTCGGAATACTCCCTTCCTAGATCTCACCTGACCAGCTCCTTTTGCTGTTCAGGTCTCCTCCCAAAGGTCACCTCCTCAGGGAGGCCTTCTTGGTTGTCCTAACCTAAAGCAGCCCTTCCCACATTGTCACTTTGCTATGTGTTATTATCTTTAAAGCCTTTCTCATTTTCTGAAATTACCTTTTTCAATTATTATCATTTGCAGAATTAGCATTATTATTAATCATCCTAACAATAAGAGCAAATACAAGTTGAGTTTTCACTATGTGTCTTACACAAACCTTTGTATTTTTAATGCATTTTGGTAGCGACAAGTAGCATTTATTGAATATTTTCTATTCACAACACTGGGCTCATAGGTTAGCATGCTAGTCCAGGTCATTTCTTGTCTAGATCCCCACCATGACTTTCTGAGGGCCCTCTCCCCATTTTAGCCTCTTTACATCCGTTGCCCACATAGCAGCTGGTGATTTTTCCAAAACTGGTGAGGGTTTACTTTGAACTTTTTCTTTGCTACATTGAGGATAAGAGTTCCATTTTTCTATATTATGAGATGACAGAGGGTAACTTCATACAGCATTTTTATTGCACTTAGACTTTTACATAGTTGGGTTATGCACAGTTAGCTGCTGTACATAGTAACACTCCACTCCAACATCCACTGGCCTAAGATAATAAACACTCACTACAGCTCACAGATGGTGGTTCAATTGGTCTTCACTGGGCACACTCACACATTATGGACAAGGCCTGCAGCTCTCCTTGCCATGGCTGGGCTCTCTCACATGTCTGGGGCCGTCACCAGAGCCCTGCTTAGGATGCCAGGCCATCATCCTGCATTGGCTGGACCAGGCTTTTTTGCACAGCAGTGGCTGAGTTCCAAGAGCAAGACTGGAAATAAATAACCAAAGCTTCTTGAGGCCTCACATTGGCACTAGTTAGCAAAATGGCCACTTTCCCCTGGCCAAAGCACAGGGTGGAGAAATCACCCATAATGGAGTGACACTGCAGAGTATGGGCACAGAGAGACCACTGACTGGGGCTTGAAGGATGCATCAGGGGTAGAAGGTTATGAGGGAACTGGTATTCCTTCCTCTGATGCAAAGAAAAATGTCCCTTGACCATCCCTCACGAAGCATGAACTTCTCTAGGTTTTAGCACTTGAACTGTTCTTTCTCCTCCTCTCCCAGAAATGATCTCATCGAAAGTTCATCTCTAAGGTTCTTGAGGTTCCAGAGAATGCCATACATCTTCACGGTTGTCTTGCTCATGTTGGTGCCTCTATAAATAATGATTGTACCTGGTCTTGTAGGATTATGCCCACATGCTGACCTGTGTCACTGAGAGAGAGAAGTTCATCGTGCCCATCAAGGCCAGAGGTGCACGAGCCATTCTGGACTTTCCTGATACGTTTAACTTCTCCACATGCCCTGTCAAATACAGCACCCAGAAGATTCTGTTGGTACAAAACATCGGCAACAAAGATGCGGTGTTTCACCTTGAAACTCGTAGGTAAGCATTCCCTTGGCTCTTGTTTTTGATCGACTCTAGCTAGATTTGGTCAGCACAAGTAATTTTCTAGAATAGCAGTCAGGACCCAACTGCTAGTTACGCTCTGGGGTTGCAAGGCAGGAAGATCTCACTGTTGAGGGGCAGACTTTCTGTTCATTCCAAAAGGAAATCAAAATTCAAGGTTACCAGTTTGGTAGTGATGATTTTCCGAAGAGCTGGATAAAAATCTTTTCTACTTAGAGACTGGCCTAAAGGGAATCCATTAACAAACATATTTGTTTTGACTGAGAGTTTTATAACTGGCTGTGTTAGTTTTCTACTTTTCTACTGCTGTTGTAACAAATTGTCATAAATTTAGTGGCTTAAAACAACACAGATTTATCATCTGATATCTAAGTAGGTCAGAAGCCTCTCTGGGCTAAGAGCAGTGTCTTTGGAGCCATGTGCTGTACTATAGGGTAGAAGACATCCCGTGGGGAGTATCTATGCTTATTCTTCCATGTGTCCCAGGAGCATCACTGTCTATGGACCATTTCACATAGATCCGGGTTTCTGTCTGGTATCCTACTTCTTTTTTAAAAATACTTTTTTAGGATTTATTTATGCACAGAACTGGGATGTAGGCCACAGGTACAGGAGGTGAGAGGATTCACCAGAGACAGAGTGGGGAACAGAACAGGCAGATCTACTAAAATACACTGCTGAGGGGAGCAGCAGCAAGACAGGAGAGGTCTGCTGCACCATGTGGGTCACCTCACTGGCCAGGGATCAAACTCCTGCTGCAGTGGCTGGTGATAGCTTAATAGTGCTGAGACTTAACCCCTTGCACCACCAGGCAGGCTCCAGTATCCTAATTTTTTTGGTTGACAAACTAATACTATTTCTGGTAGCACGGGTCCATTGGAAATTCTTTCAAGTTTTGTCTATCTGAAAAAGAAGTCATTGTTTTGCTGTCATTTTGGTAAGCTGTTTTTTTTTTTTTTTTTTTTTTTTTGTGGAACTTTCACTGGTGGCCGGGGAACGACCCGGCGCCGCAGAGGCTGCGGGCAGCCTCTCAGCCCAGCGCTCAACCGCTGCGCCACCAGGGGAGGCCCTGTAAGCTGTTTTCTCTATAGTATATTTTCTCTGGGTTGATGATTATATATGCACATATTCTTTTTGTAGTACTTTCCAAGGTATCATTTCATTGTCTTTTGGATTATATTTTTCTAATTAAAAGTCTGCTGTAATTCTTATCTTGATTACTCTCAGTGTGATTACAGTGGTCCCGGCTTATCTGTGGGACATATGTGCTGAGATACCCAGTGGATGCTGAAAGCCATTAATAGTATTGAATCCATTTTGTGCTGTGCTTTTCCCTATACATACATACCTATGTCAAAGTTTAGTTTATAAAATAGGTACAGTTAAGTGATTAACAACATAACTATTAATAGTAAAATAACTACCCAGAATAATTATGGCAAGATATTATAATAAAACGTATATGAATATGTCCTCTCTCAACAAATATCTTATTGTACATATTTTTGGATTATGCTTGACCAAGTGTAAATGAAATCACAGAAAGTGAAACTATGCATAAGGGAGTGTATCTTTTTGTGGGCTGTCTTTAAGATCCTTTGTTACATTTGGTTTTTAGCAGTTTAAATATGATGGGTCTAGGTATGGGCTTTATTTTAAGGATTTTGTTTAGTGATGATTTCAGTCCTGAATGAGGTTCTATGAGCTTCCTAGTATTTGGGGGGAAATATCAGCTATTGTCTCTTCAAATATTTTTTTCTGCTTCATCCTCTCTGTCTGCCATTAACAGGAAAGTCTGTGCATGTCCCACTTGGGGACAGCAGGATTGTCCATTTTTAATATTCAGGCCACTTGCGTGCCTTGGTGGGTTCAAGATGTTGTTTGTCTGGGTTTTTTTGTTTGTTCATTTGTTTGTGTTTTCACAGTTAGGAGTGAGAGAAAGACACTTTCTAGCTTTCTAGGTAGATGCGAGACTCTCTGAACCAATTTAGGTGAAATCAACCATAAAGGGGAAAAGCAAACTTCTTTTGAAAGTCAGTGTCTCCTGACATCACCCATAAATACCTGTCCAGCCTTTGTCAGTTTGTGGTGGACTCCTCACAACATCTGACTGAAGGAGAGCGAGGCAGGTTGTTGAACTGGCTCACCATGACTTAGAAAGAATACATCGTTTTTATTTTTAAAAAAGCCCTCTCATAATCACCATCCATAATACATTAAAAACTTCCTGCTACCTTGGTATTTTTCCTGTTAAGCCTGTGAAGCTTAGCTTCCTGAACTGCTGGATCTTAAAAGCCACAAAATAAATGGCTAATTTTTACATTTTTACAATTTCTTAAATTTGTATTCATGTAAAAGTGAAGCAAAATCTCCTCATGAATTTAATAATATGAAGTTGCAGCAAAGAGGTAAAACTTTTCTGTCCATTTACCTAAGAACGCCAACCGCCTTTCCTAATATGGAAACACTTCCAAAGTAAAATGAGGAATCAACTCAGGGACTAGCCAGGAATCCTAAAGACATCAGAAACTAGTTCAACAGCCCCATTTTACAGAAGGAAGTCAGGTCTGAGAAAGGAAATGACTTATCCAAGCTCCCCAAGTTAGCAAATAGCAAAACCTGGATTAAAACAAACATGAGCCAGTTATGGACTTGATTCCTCTGATCCATTCCTCTGTTCCTACCCTACCCCCACCCCCATTAACTTTCCTAGGTTCCCAGGTCAGCCAGATTCTAGCTGGGTTTCACCATTGGGAGGCACTAGGAGGGATGGGAGTGTAGGAAGAATCCAGGGTGTTTCTCTTTCCTGTGCCTTCAGCAGAGCCCCCAGCCAGCAGTGGCTGCCTCTTTTTCCATGGCTCTTGCTCCTGCCAGTGGCCTTCCTCTTCCAACTTCTGTGAACACTTCCCCTTTGTCTCCAGCCCAGGGGTGGAAATGGCTCCTTTCTTTTACTAATCTCTGAGCAATCTCACCCTCTAAATTGCACTCCTTATCACTTCCATCTTCTGTGTAATCAAGTCTCTCAATTAAATTCCCTGTTTGCAAACATTTTTGTTTCCCTGTTTGGACTCTGCATGAAAAAGTAGTTACCCATCATTTCCACAAAAGCATGTTTTCCAACCATGTTTTCAATTTTGTGAGCCAAACCCAGATTCTTCCAGTAAATTCCCTTTCTGTTTAAGCAGCCAGAGTAGTTTTCTGTTGCTGGCAACCAAGAACCTCGATGGCCCTGGTGAGAAAGGATGTGGTTAGATTTCTGGTCATGTCGTGTTGAATCAGGATCTCTGGAGAGAGCATCTGACAAGCATCAGTTCTAAAAAAATGCACAGTGGATTGTGCTGCTCAGACAGGGTTGAAGTCACTCCTTCAGTGAAGGTGATTGGCAGTAGACATGGTATAGCAGTGGGTATAGTTTGAAGTTTTGGCGTCAATATGCCAGTCTTGGTCCTGCCCCTTTGAGAGTCAATACAGCTAGATATAACACCTCACAGGAAATTGTTGCAAAAGCACATCATATTCTTTTCATTGAAGTAGTGATTTAATTAATGGCTAAGTTTATAAATGGCGAGCTTCCTATAAGTTAATAAAACAAAAATTTTCCTTGTATGACCATGGCCCCCATTAAAACATTGGCTCCTTAGATGCAAGGATTGTAGTCTCTTCTTTCCATTTATATGTTTCCAGCAAATAGCAAAGTATCTTGAATAACTAAGTGCTCAATAAATGTTTAGAGGATGCCTAACCAACAATATATCACAAAGGCAAAGCTACAACTGTAAACCACAATTATTTAAAAATAAAAAAATCATGCTGCAAGTACTATAAAATAGGCATAATGTTTTTTGTACCAATAAAAGGAGCTTCAGTGTGCTATAAAATATAGAGAAGATAAACAATTACTGTTCAATTTTATTACAAATTTGACCTAAAACTCTGGTGTAGGTATCAGAAAAACTTTGGCTGTTAAGGAAGACTACTTTTGGAAGGTGAAATAGAAAGGATTAAGAAGATAAATCCTCAAGGTAGGAATCAGTTAATAAGAAAGATTACCTGGAGAAAAAAATACTAATGCTATATTCAATATTTAATAGATTAGCATCAGCATTTAGTCTTCTGCTAAAATATTGAATCATTTAAATGGAATTGTTGTAGTTCTTATGAATAGTCCATGATGGATTGAACAAAAACTCAAAATCTTTCTCATGACTCATGGTTTTTCACAAACATCCCTCCCTAATTAAGTATTGTGTATTCATGAAGACGTGATATCAAAACCAAGCATTTTGCCTCACACCTTTGAGGAACAGTACCTTTTACCAATTTGTAAGACTATTTTCTGATACTTGATATTTTCTAGCCTGTTCAGCCTGTCTGCTTTTAGTACAATGAAGTACAAAATGGAATTATAGACATTGTTTAAGCACCAGAACTTAACACACTCTACCCAATTAACTCTGAATTATTGCAAAAGCTTAGGCAGCTCTAGGTAGCAATGGTTACCCCAGGTGATTTTCTACTGAAGAAATTTAGTGTAATATAAACCCAACCATTAGCACAACAGCAAAGTATCTGTTACCACCATATGGGATTTGGATTTCTGGAGGTCCTGGAGAATGGTCATTTTTTTCCTTAGAAAATCAGCTTAGGTTCTGTCTAGTAATACTATCCAACTCATTTCAAAGCTGTTCTTTTGTTACCAAGAAATGTCTGAAAATAAAATGAAAGCACAGTGTAGGAAGAAAAATATTAGGAACTAGAGAGACAGAAATAGAAGAAAAGGTTATAACATTGTTCCAAAAGCCAGGAAGCTGGGCCCAGTTCCCAGCTTTTGAGATTTTGAGATTTTGAGAAGGTGAAGAAAGGAAGACATTCGAAGACTCTGAGGCTCACCTTCATCTCCCATTAAGCAGGAGTTTCCTGAGATATTGAGAGCCTCTTCCTTTTCTGTTCCACCAAAAGGTTATAAATACATTTTTATAGATATTGTTATTTCTGTTTAAAAGTTGATGTAATTCAGCTCGTCGAGGCTCCTGTAAGTAAAGCGCTGTATGTGGGTGGTGAGAAATGTGGGGATGCATGTAACACGTGGCTTCCACGTCCAAGGTGAATTGGGGTTGGGCAGAAGGACCTTGAACTTGAAGGGAGGCTTCTTCCATCTCTGCTCTGCCACTACCTAGTTAGGTAATTTGAGGCCAGTTGCATGTTTTCTCATGTCTAAATTACAAACAACAATACTCACTTTTCTCAGAGATTTTTTGAGGACTGAAAGAATTGACATAGGTGCAGTGTCCATAACAGCACCCAGTGCAGGCACGTATCCATGAGATTTTTCTTCTTCTTTCATCTCAAGACTCTCTAGCTACTCAAAGAGGCAGGCTTGAAAAGAAACAATAGTACGAGATATATTGAAGTAAGAGGTAAAAAGAGTTTTCCCCTCTGAGAGGAAGGAGACGCTGTTGTTAAGAGGAAGAATCAGGGAAAATTCTACTTAAGGGGTGACTTCCAGTCTGGGCAGTGGAGTATGGCATGTGGAAAATGGTATTTCTTTGTGACCCCGGTAGTTCTGGGATGTCTGTTTAGGCGACTGATCTGTTGTAAGGGTGAGGAGAGAGAGTGTGGGTGTAAAGATGAAAGCTGTCACGTCCCATCTCATCCAACCACACCCTATATTGTTGTATCACAATCTTTTGTAAAAAAGATTCATGTGTTAAGACCTGTGTGTGTTTTTACAGTCTCTCTAGAACAGTCGAAGGACTGGGGGGAGAATGAGAAAAACGTGAAATCATATAAACGCCAGAGCTCCTCCCCACGCTCATCTTCTCACTGGGCAGTGAGGACACAGCAATGACAATCACAAAAATAATGAACACTTGGTTAGCACTTCTTGTGTACCAGGCATTATTCTAAGCATTTTACCCACATCAGCTCCTTTAGTCCTCTGAGGGTGTTGTCATTACCATCCTTTTTTTTTTTTTTTTAAAGAGGAAAATAAAGTCTTTTTTCTTTTTTTAGAATTTATTTATTTATACAAGCACTGGGTACAGTCAGAAGCGTGGGAGGGTGAGAGAATTCACCAGAGCCAGAGTGGGGAACGGAACAGCAGACTGATGAAATATACTGTTGTGGGGAGCACTCCTGTCGCACCATGTGGGACCCTCTCCAGGGGCCGGGGATCGAACCGGCATTGCAGAGGCTGTGGGCAGCTTCATAGCCCAGCACCCAACCGCTGCGCCACCAGGGAAGGCCCTGTCATTACCCTCCTTTTACAGAGGAGGAGACTGAAGCTTAAATGACTTGCCCAAGACCATGGCAGAGCTGGGTTTTGAACTCACTCACTTGGCTCCTGGCAAATGACCACTGGCCCACTGTGCCTCTCCAGCAGTGCCTGGGGTTCGTTGGGGCTCTGGTGCTGTAGGTACTGGAAAAGGAATGGAGAAAGAAGTGTAAGTTGAGGGAGATCAATATAGAGGGCACGAGAGAAAAAAAACAGTGTCTCTCTTCAAATGTGGTAATAATTGCAAATCCTCCCCTGGCCATAAGCTCTGTACCCGCATAGAACACTTAGGTTTTCTGAAATTAAGTTCATTATCTAAGGGAAGATTTAAGGAATGAAGACTCCAGAAATGGTTGTGATAGAAGTAAATAATCAGAAACAGCTTAGCCTGCCAGATACCTTGTACAAACATATTACTTTGAAAAACTAACAATTTGAAGAAGTGAAGTGGACCATGAAAATAATTAAATGGGCTGGGTTTCCTATTTAGAAGGAAGGGATCTGTAAGTTATTTAAGGCGCTTTATGATCAGATCCAGCTCCTCTCTTCCTGCTCCCTTCCAGGACAGGGAAATGAAACTATTTCCTATTTCCAAATCCACCTTCTCTCCCTCAATATCTGCATGCCCCAATTCTGTTTCCCAAACACGGGTTTTGTCCCCAGTTTTCTGTCCCAAATGCATTCTCCACCCTTCATCCAGTGGGTGCTTGACCTGCTGGGCAAGGTCCACAGGCTCCCTTGCCTTCACGTTTCTGGTTGGGTGCAGCCAAGGGGAGACCCAACGGACAACCAGACAGGAGGAGGGTGTGTGGTCAGGGCCCCCAGTGTCTCCCTCGTGAGACCTCCAGGGCTGACTGTCCCTGTTGCCTAAAGCTCCTGGCTCCTCACAAGCAGCATCCTCTTAGGACTCCCATGCATCTATGGATTCAGAAGTGGCACAGTTCTACTATTATAACCCTGGGTGACAGCATCATTTCTTGCCATTCCTTTATACTGCCTTGTTATACAGACCCTTTTGTTTACCTTATGTGATCTGTTATCATTTTCCTTTTGGGACTCTGATATTTTTTCCATTATGAAGCCCTCTCCTCTCTGAACTTTCATAAAATTGATTTTCACCCCCTTAAAGGTAGTGTTCTTTTGCAAATCACAGTACTTGCATATATGTCCCTTAATAAAGTCACTCAATGAAGGTTAAAAGAATGACTGAGTGGCAAGAACAAGCAAGAATATTCTTGCATCATTTAAGTTTCTCTTAAACTTGCTGAACTGTTATTTTAACATTGAAACAGAATTTCTCACATTGGAGGGAGAATTATACCTACTGTCTGAATCACTGATCTCTTGAGGTGGGTCTGAGCTGTCTGTGGTGCTGAACCCCCACTACTGGGAATGGGCTGTGATGGCAGGTCTTCCTGTGTGTTGCAGGCCTTTCTCCGTGGAACCATCGGTTGCAACTCTTAATGTGGGAGAACTCATGCAACTGGAAGTGCAGTTTGAGCCCCAGACTGTGGGCAGCCACAGTGAGAGACTTATCGTGTATTATGACACAGGTATGCGTTATTTTTGTTACAAGTCATTAAGAAAGGTCAGGTGGGAAATATGACAAAGCAGAATAGGAAATGCCCTTTTTGGCAGAATTAAGTGAGTAAGCCAGGACCCACAAGGTAAAGAACTGAAGAATGAATGACTCTGATAGACATGCTCTTGAATCAGATATAAGTCCCATATCGATGATTTCTCCAGTGCTTGAAAGTCTGAGAATATAGAGCTCGGGTAGGGTCCTATACCCAGAAGTCACACCGGTAGATTGAGGTTATTTATATGTAAATGGGACTTGAAGGTAGCTTAATACACTTGGGTTTTCCATTTGATTTATTGCCACATTTGTCTAACATTAAAAATAAATAAACCCCTGTTCAGAATGTTCTTGTAGCAATCACTAGTTTATGTAAGATCAGTTACTTTAATCCTAAGGATGTGCAGATATCTTCCATAACATCCCCCTTAACTATAGGACTGTATCTATTGCCACTAGCATTTTCTTGAAGGCCAGAACTTGCATTATCATGCAAATACTCATTGCTGTTGCAAATATAGAATCGTGTAGATTGCATGTGCATTGTACAGTTCCCCAAAGTTGGTTTTCAAATTAATATTTTATCATTGCCATTTATTATTTCACAATTTCTCTCATTTCCTTCTCTTATTTTTCATCCTTACATGTCGATGGACTAGACTGTGTGCATCAGAAGGACATTTTAGGGGGAAAACAGGTGCACAGGCAGGGAAAGAGCAACAAATGACCCCTTGGTCACAGTTCAGAGTTACGGGCCCTGTGGACACCCACCTGGGCAGGACAGTGCAAGCCCTTTCTAAGGGCTCAAGGTTGCATGGATCTGACTCCAGATCGTCCAGCACACCAACAACTGTGACACAACCGTGACACAATCTGTGTTTTCTTATCTTTTAGCATTTGCCATAATGCACTAACTGCTGGCGTGAGAAACCTAACTTGAACTAGCTTAAGCAAGAGGGGGGGTTTCGACCCATGTAAAGTACCAGGTGAAAAGGTTAAAAGCGTAGCTTATCACACACCGTGAGTGTTCCAGTGGCTTCACATCCTTGCCAATGGTTGTGTTGGTCTGTTCATTTTAGACACACTAATGGTGTAAAGTGATGTCCTTTATAAAGTTTTTAAATGAAAATTGTAGTAGAAATTTTCATTTCTGTAATGGTTAAATTATGTTGAGTACCTTTTTATGTGCTTCCAGGTAATTCAGTCTTTTTATATGGAATGTCTGTTCATGTCTTGTTCATTTTTTGTTGACTTTTTCCCTTTTATTCTTCATTTGTTGCAGTTCTTGATCATTTGATATTCTGAATAGTAGTCATTTGTCAGATATACGGATTGTTAATATTTCCTCCCAGTCTGTAACTTACCTTTTCATTTCCTTAATGGTATTTCTTGATGAGGTAAAATTTTTAATTCTGATGAAATCCATGTTACTTTTTTTTTCTTTTAAGATTCATTTTTTGCCTTTTTTGCTAAGAAATGTTTGCCTTCCTTGAGATCATGAATGTGTTTTCCTAAAGGTAATGCTTTTTAGCTTCTCTGTTTAGGTTAATGATCCGTCTGCTTTAATTTCATTTTTGTGTATGTGCAAGGCAGGGCCATGTTTCATTTTGTTTTCCCCAAGTGGATAATTGCCTCTTCTCTGTTCTGTTGTCTTGTTCTGGAATTCTAATTAGTGGCTTCCTTAGCCTGTTACTTATTCTATTAATATTCTGTTTATTTCTTCTGACCTCTAGTTTATGTTTTCCATTTCTTATTCTCTGCAGACTTCCCAGGATATTTCCTTCTTGTCCATTATTCCATTCAATAATTCTCTCTTCAGTGAAATCTCATCTGATGAGTATCAGTTTTTCAGTTATTATAATTATTTTCTTTTTTTCCTTTTTTTTTTTCCCATAGAAGAACTAGGGTGTAGCCCAGAGGTGCGGGAGGTTAGAGGATTCACCAGAGACAGAGTGGGGAGCAGAACAGGCAGATCTACTGAAATATACTGCTGAGGGGAGCAGCGGGCGACACGAGAAGTCTTCTGCGCCATGTGGGTCAGCTCCCTGGCCGGGGATCAAACTCAGGCCATCGTGGTGGTAGCGCTGAGACTTAACCCCTAGGCCACCAGGGAGGCCCCAATTATTTTCATTTCTGAAAACATGTTTGGTTCTTATTAAATCGATTGCTCTCTATGCTTATTTTTCATTTTCCTTTTATTCTTTAAATTTTTAAAATTTAATTTATGTAAATTAAATCAAGCAGAGAGGTTTATATTCTGGGTTTTAGGATTCATATATATTGTTTAGTTTGCCTTTTGTTGGTTCTGATGGTTTTAAGCCATAACATCTATAGAGGAGGAAAATACCAGTTTCTTCTACCTTTCGAGTGTTTTAGCTGGATGCCTGTAACATAAGACAGAAGAAGGCATATAACACACATGTATCCAGTGTAAGTTTTGTGTGACATGGGCTCCTTCATGAGGAAATAAAGACTCTAAAAGACTTAAATCTTCAATAAAGACTCTAAAAGACTTTTATATTATTGATCAAGAGTAGAGAGTAAAAGTGTGATAGGGCAAAAAAGACCTGAGCTGAGTGAACTGGGGGAAAACAGCAAGGCCTGTTCCTGCAGATTCCTCTCAGTGTCCCTCTATCATTGGAGAGAAGGAGGCTGCTTCCCTCTGGGAAGAGGCAGGCATCTCTCTCGTGGGGAGTCTCTATACTTGCCTAGGAGGTGTTCAGAAGATCCTTCCTGGGCCTGCCATCACTCAAATTCCTTCAGCTTAAAATATTCAATCCCCAGGCTGCCAGACTTTGGGGGTACTGTGAATGAACCCCTTCATTGTTTATGTCCTTTGGTGGTTTTTGGCTGTAGCATCCCCCCTCGGACAGGCCCGGGGCTTTATGTCCTGTCCTAGGCACACAGTGCACTAGTTAAAGCTCAAGTTCAAGGTGCGGAAGAAACCTTGGCACCAGGTTACTTCCTGGCCTTCTTCACTTCGTTTGATGGCCTTATTTTCCTGTCAGGTTACTGATGCATTTTAAGTTAAAAAAATATTTTATCAAGTGTTTAGTGATTTCAGTCACCACTTTAACTTGCTGCTTAAAACCGACTAATATAAATCTTTTTCCCCCGCATTGTTCAGCATTCTTTTTTTTTTTAATAAATTTTATTTTTATGTTCCCTATACAATTGCAACCCCCTTATTTTGACCCCAATCCCTCCCCTCCCAACCCCCCGCCCCCCATAGAGTGTCTCTGGTTCATAGTTTTTTGTTGATTTTGATTTTCACTCTCTTATAGTTATTCATTTTCCTGGTCCCTTATTTAAGTTTTCTAGATTCCTGCTATGAGTGAGACCCACCATGGAATATTACTCAGCATTCAAAAAAGATAAACACATGCAATTTGCAGCAACATGGATGTTCAGCATTCTTCACCGAATGGGTCATCCTTTCCTAAACCCTCTCCCTACAGCTTGTCAGCAGGCATTATCCCTCCTGTGCTTAGCGGTGTTTCTGTTTTTCAAGCATCTGGGAATTTTCTAGGTTTTTTCTGATATATAATATACATAAAATGTATATATGTATATATTTTAGTTTCTTTTTTATTTTATATATTTTTCAAATCATTTTTCAGTTTTGTACAATGTATACATTTTCATCTTGGTTATCGTCCCCTTGAATTCCCACCCCCATTCACCTGTGAACCATCACCATGGTCCCTTGTGTTCTTCCCTCCCTTGTTTTGATCCTACTCCCTTATCTCCCGCTGCAGTATGTCTCTGGTTTATAGTTGCCTGTTGATTTTGATTTTTACTTTATTATAATTAGCAGCAACATGGATGGAGCTCGAGGGATTTTGCTCAGTGAAATAAGCCAGAAAGAAAAAGAAAAATACTGGATGGTCTCACTTATCTCAGGAATGTAGGGGATCCAAATAAGGGATCAGGGAAAAAAAAACTAATTCATTCTGATATTCTTACTTGAGTTCCACCAATGACAGAAAGCAAACTCTATATGATTTCTGTCCTTGAAATTAGTCAAGTTACACTCTGCTTCCGAATATGTTCCATTTTGGTAAATGAGCCTCATGCACTTGAAAAGGATACAGGTTGCATCAACATCTATTATGTCAAGCTTGTTAATCATGTTGTTAAATCTGTCCTCCCACTAATTTTTGTGTCTTCTTTTAAAATTAATTATCATGTACTGTTCAGTCCTTTTATGTTGAATGCAACTTCTGATTTATTTGGGTTTGAATCTTCTGTATGATTGTGAAGGAACTGTTACCACTATGGGAAAATTATTAGCTGAATTTCAGCAAAGGCCTTTGTGTTGTTAGTGTTGATAGCAGATGAAAGTGAAAAAGAAATGAGTGTTAAACTCAGTGGTGATGCCTTTCTACCATCTGTGTGTCTCCGTCTTTGTGAAACATCATTTCATTTATGTCAGCCACTAAAATTAATTATTGAAAGAATGGTGACCTAGGAATTACCTTCGGATCGCTATATCACAATGTTTTAAGCCAGGAGTTTAAAAAAGAATGAAGCATAGTTAACCTTTGCGCTAGTTAAAATAGTTAGAATGATAGTTAAATAACAATTACAATAATTAATTGTTGGTAGGTATTTTAAAGAAATTATCTTAAAATATCATTTATCTCATCCTTTTCAATATTTTGTGCATATTTTTAATCATTTGACATGAGTACTCTGGCACATGGGTGTAACTTATAAACAAGTGAACATATGTTGGGGTGTTCAGACATTTTTATCTGTTTGAGTTTTGAGACCAGCTGTGCTCATAGATGAATAGAATCAGGGATAATCTCAGTTTTAGGGATAATCTCAGCTAATCATTATATTTTTACATATGAAAAGCTGAATCCTGAGAAATTAGGTGACTCAAGGTCACAAAACAACTCAGAAGTACAATTAGAACCCATATTCAGCCCCCTAACCCTGCACTGTGCTTTGCCTATCCTGGTGGGT